ATCAATTGATGAACCTGGCAGGCTTCCTGGAGGAGGTGACTCTACCGTGGCCCTCCTCCTGGGCACCCAGGGTTACCTTCTGTATGGTGACTGCTGCCTGGTCCTGACTGAACTTGCGCTGCCCATCCTCCTGGATCTTTCGATCCTTCTCCTCCTCTTTCCGAATCTCTCGCATAAAGGTGGCTCGGAGCCGGCCCTGCCTGGCCCGCTCAACCTTTTGCACTAGAATTATGGCCTCGGTCCTGTGAATTCCTGGAAAGATCTGGCCAGAGCAGGGGGCAAAAAAGCAGGAGTACATGAGGGAGAGCTTATATCCAGGGTGGGCATCTGGGAGACCAGCCACAAAGGACACCCTGGGGGCATGGTCCTCTCAGGGCATCTGGGTGCCAAAGTCCCATCTTGGTGTCAGAAGGTTATAGTGAGCACAAGAGCAGCCTTGACGGATTACCCAAAGAGTACTCTGAGGTAGGTATAGAGCAGCAGGGCCTCTCTGAGCCTTGGAGGGGAGCATCTCTGCTCCAGGATAGAGGAGATGGGAGGAGTCTGGGAGGGTGTCTCCCCAGCTTACGTCTTCGGCAGTCTGTGGCTCCATTCTGGACAGGATCTCGGCCAGCATCAGCCCTCTCTCCTTCATAGTGCTGGACTGCTCCAGCAGGAAGTATTTGGGGATTGGAACCTCCAAGTCTGCCTTTGAAGCAATATGGGGGAAGGAGGGTGAGGAATCAAATGTCCAGGCCATCTGGTCGATCCATTACCACTGCCAGCTCCCTGTGACTCCCTGGTTCTGTTCTCCTCCATTCTAGAGCCTTGGGTGGGAAAACTCCACGTTTTAGGGTGGATTCTCCCAATTATCCCTCTTGTCCCCTGCACCCACCGTGTGGCCAGAATTGAATTCTGGAGGATCATGGCATAGGTGGCAGTGGTCCTAAACCTGCATTTTAAAATGCAAATTCCTAGGTCGTCCCCAGACTACCACATGAGAAGGGCAGGGTCTGGAGAATCTGCGTATTTCCCCCAAGGTCCACCACTGCAGCTGGTCAGGGAAACTGTGAAACTGCTTTGGATATACAACAGTGAGTGAATGCTGACCTTGGGGCAGGACCAGAGGCCCTGCAGAAGCTCTGTGCTCTAGAACAGCATTCTAGAACTTGCCTGTGCACACAGATCACCTGAGAGTCTTGTTAAAAGGCAGATGCAGATTCAGTGAATCTGGGGTGTGGCTGGAGATTCTGCATTTTTAACAAGCTTCTAGGTGATGCACATGCTGCTGGTCCACGGACCCCACTTTGAGGAACAAACTTCTAAAGGCCTCTCCTCACCAATTCCCTGCAGTTGGTGGGTCTTCCCAGCTATGCGGTGGGAGGGAGGGCCCTAGCCTGATTCTCCATCCACTCCCCAACTACCTCCATGCACCCCAGGTTCCTAAACCCCTTCTCCCCAGGCCAAACCCCATCCTCTAATCTGCTCCGCCCTCCTTCATTTGCATATGTCGCATCGCGAGGGATGTCTGCGGGTGGGAGGGGCGGGGCGTCAAGGCCAGCCCCCACCCCACCCAAGCTGGCCAAGGGCGTGGCTCCCTGTCGGTGGGAAATCAAGGCCAACCCCCGACCCCCCATCCCACGCCGCCGGGCCGTGGCTCCGCGCGGCCTTCATGGCGCGCACCGGGGTGAGCTTGAGATCCTGCAGCACGCGGTCCAGGCAGTGGCTCTCACACAGGTCGGCGCGCACCAGCTCGTCCTTGAGCTCCAGCACGCGGCCCGCCACCCCGTCCAGCAGGCGCCGCAGCAGCCGCCGCTTCTGCGGCTGAACCATCTGGTCGTAGACCATGTCGAACTGGCGCAGCAGGCCCAGGTAGTGCAGGTAGAGCGCGGAGAGCCTGTACTGGAAGGACCGCCGCTCCCTGTCGGGCACGGGTTCGAGCAGGGGCTGCTCTCGGTCCAGCAGCTCTTGCAGGGTCACGTGGGAGGCCTCCCAGAGGCGCTGGTAAGTTCTGGAGAGGAGGCAGCATGTACCGCGTGCTCTGAGCCGCGGAGGAGTGGGGACAGTGTGTGGGCGAGACAGGAGCCACCAAGCCTTGTGAGGAGTGTGAACTCAAGGCTCCAGACAGTGTGACTTTATTCATGGCGCCAAAGTGATCTTCGGTGAAATGAGGGGCCCACGGGGGAATGAGCAGGCACTGGCCTGGGCTTAGAGAAGGATGGGTCTTAGAGGTTGGGGTCTTGGGGTCGACTGATGGAATAACAAGGAAAGTGAAGAACGGCCACAACCCTTAGGGATTTGGAGGGAGGCAGCTTTGGGTGGGGCTCCTGCAAGGAAGGGGTCTTTTGGAATAGGGGGTCAGCAGGTCCCTACAGGTAAGGGTGCAGCGCACAGATGCTGCAGTGGTCTAGGGTGGTGGGTGGGGAGCGGGGATAAGGAGTGAGTGTAGAGAAGGGTTCCTTCCCTGGAGTAGAGCCACGGTTCTGGAATTAATAGTCCGAGGGAAGTCTGCAGAGCAAAAGCTGACCACAGGCAGCACAGCAAGGGAGCTGTGTGAATGCCCAGAACCCAGCCAGGGCTGGCCCAGCATCCAAACCCACACTCTGCCCCCAGCCCTTCTCCCTGCCCAGCTGCCCCAACCTTCCAGGACCAGGGAGGTGCTTTGCTCTCCCAGCCCTGGGGGCTCCACTCCAGCCCCTCACTCACCCTTCAGACATGGTGCCCACTCCTTCTCACACTGCCCTTTGTGAGCTGGTGTGGAATCCACAGAACCTCTCTGGTTCTTCCTGACTCCCTGTGAGCCAGGGGGCAGAACAATCTGATTTTAAGAGTTCTGACCCATTGTTGCATGGTGCCCACTCCTTCTCACACTGCCCTTTGTGAGCTGGTGTGGAATCCACAGAACCTCTGTGGTTCTTCCTGACTCCCTGTGAGCCAGGGGGCAGAACAATCTGATTTTAAGAGTTCTGACCCATTGTTGCAATGTTCTAAGGCTGAGGAGAGGGGACTGGTGTGTGTGTGCAGGATTGGGGATACATCTTAGAGAACGTCCTGGAAGTGGCAGGCTGAAGGGGGAGGCAGGCAGTGGTTGCAGGCTCCCGAGTAGCGAGGTTTGGAAGGTCAGAGCAGAATATGGAGTCAACTGTAGTGACTTTTCCCATGAAGACCAAATAAAATAACACTATTTGAAGGCACCTGCAAGCTCTGAAGCTATGGATAAATATTTGTCCTAAACCCATCACTACAACTGCACCTTCTCATCCAGGGGAACTTCTAGTCCTTCATTCAGCCTCAGCCTCCTACTCACACAACCTACCTTTACTCCTGTGAATGTACTCAGAGGCCTGGGTGATGGGAGGGGGAAAAGGCACAAGATTTGGGTCAGAAGGCCCTGCAGTCCCAACTTCCCCCCATGTGTGAAAGCACAACCGTGCCTGCCTCACTGGGGTCCACTGATCGTTCACACTGTTCACGTGAACTAATCGAGGATTATATTAGAAAGTGTAGTGGATGCTGCTCGGTGTTATTAGGGGCTCATTTGGGGCCATCTGTGGGTATCCCCCATCACTGCTGTGGGGCCAGGAGACCATTTTTTGGAGAATATAAAACATTATACCAGCAGCAGCCTGACTCTGATCAGCAGGAGCTAAGCTTTTCGCTTCAGTGTTAAGTAGGGGTTTATGAATAAATAAATATATAAAAGGAACGGGGTCAAGGAAAGGGGGAGAAGGGAGGCAGCTTCAAGAAGGAGCAAAAGAGAAGGAATTCTCGAACTTCAGTGAACATACAAATTACCCGAAGATCTTGTTAAAATGCAGAGTCTGGTCTAGATCTGAGGTGGGGCCCAGGAGCCTGCATTTCTAACAAGCTCCCAGGTGATGTGGATGCTCCTGATCTGTGAATCACACCTTGAGTGGCAAAGCACTGACCAAAGTGGTGGAGTGGGTAAGAGTGAGGCTCAGGGGCCAGACCTCCTGGGTCTGCCCCTTACTAGCTGTGGACCTGAACGTGGGCTATTAGTTCTGGCCCACATGGGCCATGGAATCTCGATGAGGCTTGGGCTGTGAGAAAATACACGTGAAGTATGTGTATGCTGCAGCCAGATGTCAGCATTATTACAAGGGGATGCCTTTCAGTACATGAAGTTGAAGGGACAGCACACTGAGTCTATCCAATTACAACGGGAACATAAAGAAGGATTTTAGATTTGTCTAAATCCCACCCTTTCACTCCACCTTCTTCAAACTTGGAAGAGAATTTATGGATCATATGCCCACAAGATAGAGCAGAGGCCGAATGAAGGAGAGAGAAAAAAGCAAATGTGGTTAAGTGGTAAATCCAGGTGAAGGATGTAGTAGTGGCTGCTGTGCTTTCTTACAATTTTTCTATGAGTTTCAAATTTTTCAAAATGAAATTGAGGAAGAAAAGTTAGGAGTCTCAAAACATCGCTACTGATTTGTTCTGAACTTAAAGGCTAGGAAATGTTAAGGGAAAATAAAAACTCAACCTGTTAGCTCAGCTGGTTGGAGCGCAGTGTTATAACACCACGGTCAAGGGTTCAGATCTCCATACCGGCCAGCCACCCAAAAAACCCCACAAAAATCTCTTACTGATGTCAGCAGGTTAGTTAGAAGCTGGTCTGGACCTTCAGTTTTTGCATTCTGAAGAACAGATCTGTGTAGCACCTTCACCCCGCACAGTGCCTGTCATATAGGATACAATGACAGTTGGCAGGAAATGGTATCACAAACCATAGCCTGAAGCAGTAACACAAACGAGGAACTTCAGGCCCAGAGAGGCATGATGGAAACAGCCTGCAGTAAATCCAGGATCCAGTCCAGATCCCAGGTCCTACTTCAGCTTTCTACCAATTAGAGCAGTTGTACCTTTACAAAGCACTATCACATGTCATTCATGGGATACACCCAGAAAGTACGGTAGCCTCAAAAAGTGAGGATGTCCTTGCCCCAGACCACACCCTGGCTTCACACAACCCCTTTTCAAAACACCACAGTGCGGGGAACAGTTCACTCTTTATTTATGTCAGGCCTTAGGTCACTTGGAGCTGGTATACTTAGTGACAGCCTTGGTGCCCTCGGACACAGCATGCTTGGCCAGCTCCCCAGGCAGCAGCAGACGCACGGCCGTCTGGACTTCCCGGGAAGTCAGTGTGGTTCGGCCCGAGTACTGGGCCAGCCGGGCAGCCTCACCAGCCAGCCGTTCAAACACATCGTTCACAAACGAGTTCATGATGCTCATGGCTTTGGCAGAGATGCCGATGTCCGGGTGTACCTGGAGAAGCAGCAGGACCGCTCTGTGACCTGGGGGCTCTGCCTGCATAAGCCTCAGCTCTGCGCTAGGGACTCTAAGGAGCCAGAGGTAGGAGGCAAGGCTTTGCCTGCCCCTTTCCAGAGGCCAACATACATGGAAATAGGGATTTGTGTTTTCTTTTTACTAATGTCCAAGTTTGAAAAAAAAAAGTTTCTCTAATGCAAGAGGTTAAGTTCCTTGTGAAGCATCTATATTTAGAACAAATGGGATCAGTTACATATGCATCTTGCTTTTTTCATTTAATTCACTTGCATAGTGTTCTGTGGTATGGCAGAGTCATAGTTCATATCACCTTTCCTCTCTCAATGGATATTTAGGTTGGTTTTTGTTTGTTTTGCTATTAGACTGTGCTATGGTAAATATATATATTTTAGCCTTACCTGAACATAATGAAGGTTAGTTATTCCTAGAGGTGAAGTTCCTAGAGGTGGAACTGCAGGGTCAAAGGGTTTGTGTGCTTAACTTAGTAGACAGTTACCAAGTTACTCTCCAGTGAGCACATCTATGTGACACAATCACAGCACCAGACTAGGCAGTAGGAGACCCGTGTTCTGCAGCTACACTGTGAACCACTATGACCTTGAATAAGGCACTTTCTTTTGGGTCTGTTTCTTCTTCCATCACACAAGCTTTTGAACTAGGTGACCCAATGACAGTCCTAAAATGCGAGTAGGAATACCTTGTTAGGTGTGAAGTGGGAGAGAGATGACTGCCTAACCTACATTGGAGCCAACAGTGCAGACAGAGCCAGAGCCAGGATCCTGAGGCCCAGCCGCCGCTCTTCCCACCACCTCTGGTAGCCCCCACCAGCAGGAAGTCTGCAGCTGGTACAAGGCTGGTTTAGCCTCAGTCCCCTCTGTTGTTATCATACCTGTTCTTGTTAGAAGTGAGCAGCAGTGCCACCCTGGGTGAAAGGTAATGGGCTACTCTCTCAGCAGCACTCTCCTCTGCAAGTCCAAGCCTGGTCTAGCCCTTCAGTCACAATTTTTTAGCCCCAAAGTTGGGCTAAGCTACAGGGTTCAGTAATACCTGCTCCCACATTCTTCAGGACACTAGAGTCTTGTCGTCTGGTGCTTCCCTTCTGGCCCATCCACGTCAGCACCAGCCCCACCCTGTGAGATCATTCCCAGACACCCAGTTGTCAATTCACCGAAACTGCTAATGGCACTCAGACTGGAGACAGGCTCTGTCTCTGGGACCTAATCTAATCTAAGTTAGGGAGGTTGGAGAGACCCCAGGGCGGGTAGTACAGCTACCCCTGCCTCCTCCAGCCCTGGCTCTGCTGAACAAGGCAGTGGCTTTGAGGTGAGGCCAGGTTGCTTTGGATCCTTCAGACAGACTGGTTGTTGGGTACCCATTGGTGCCCAAAGGTGTTTGTCAGTGTGCTGAGTCCCAGGAGTAGCTGCTTCTCATGCATGAATAAAGGGCACCTGCAGCCCATGTTAGGGGAGAGGGATTGCAAGAAGGATGCTGGGGACTTACTCAGAGCCAGGGAAGCCCAGACACTGCCACTATCAGGTCACGTGACTCAGTTACTCCATGGAGCCTTAATGGGCCTGTTTCCTCATCTACAAGGCACGTAAACCCTAAGCCCCTCAAGTACTGAGTGCCGCTGGTCTGGAAGGCCTTCCCCAGACTCCAGCCCACACTAATTTCTCCTCTTTTCAGTCATCACCAATACTCTGTTTGCACCACAATGTGTTCAGCACCTAATCACCTTCAGCCTAACAAAGTGTGTTCTTTCTTGTCCTTTAATTATATCCCACCTAATGTTTATATAATCATCTTGTCTGTCCAAAAGCCCTGTAAACTTCTGAATGGGGGTGGGGAGCATGCTTTAAGTGTTTCCTGCCTATCATGGTGCACAAGATTGGGTCCAACCACCTCAAGAGGGGCACGGCCTGCCAGCACTAAACCCAGGGTCCTGGCCTCCAGCCAGCACCCTTTCAAGGCACTTTGCCAGTAACCCCACATGCATGTGCTTGCTCCCCACACTCTCACCTGCTTCAGCACCTTGTAGATATACATCGAGTAGGTTTCCTTGCGCTGGCAACGCTTTTTAGACTTGTTCCCAGAACTGCGGCCTCTGTGGCCCCTGGATGGCGGCGGCTGCTGCTGCTGCTGCGGCCCACGCTCTGTGTTCATCCTCCTGCTCCTCGGAACAGCCCCTTCCCACCCCTTGGAGCCACTTTTTGAAGTCAGCTGCCCCTCCAGGTGTGGCTGGGGGTGAGCACCTGGGATAGAGGGGTGGGAGGGGAGGAGCTCAGCTCAACCCTACTCAGAAAATGCTCTGGGTTAACCTTTAGAGAGATTAATTGCTCCCTCCTTTTCTCCCAAGTAATTTCCTGCCTCCGAATTAAAACACATTCACCAAGGTCGGCCTGTGGCTCACGTGGGAGTGTGTGGTGCTGATAACACCAAGGCCACGGGTTCGGATCCCTATATAGGAATGGCCGGTTATCTCACTTGGGAGAGCGTGGTGCTGACAACACCAAGTCAAGGGTTAAGATCCCCTTACCGGTCGTCTTTAAAAAAAAAAAGAAAGAAAGAAACACTTACCAGACTCCCTTCCTCACCCAACCATCTCCCAATGTATTTACATACTTAATTTCACACAACTCCAGACCACCCACCTGAAATCACTGAGCACCCGCAGTCCTCAGCATGGCTGAGTGCTGGGGGGTTCCAGGAGGACCACAGGGTCCCTCCCCAAGAGAGCCCAACAGTAGAGCTGAAGAGATAAGACTGGTCCATGTTAAACAATTAGAGAAGAGTAATAGGACTAAATTTAGGGTGTGGTACCCATAGTAAGGAGGGCCAGAGTAGCCAGAAGCTACTCTAAATGGGGACTGGAAGCTTGTCTTGTGGAATGAGTGCGACTGAACTGGGAAGAATGGGGAAGAAAAACATATAAAAAGCAGAGTGGAGTCAGTGGGTACACAGTAGAGGCTTGCACTGAAAGCTGAAGATGGAGCAAAAGGCTGGGCCTGGACGAGGTGCTGACATCAGGAAAGCACCCCAGGCTGGGAAGAGTCTGATGGGAGGGTGTTTAGGAAGCCAGCAGCAGAGAAACAATGGATGCTCTCCATGAAGCAGACGTGGGGTCCTTGCGGAAGTTAGCTGCAAAGGGAAAAGGCCATTGTGAAGTGGGCAGTTAATTGTCTCACTTAGCACCTATGTGTGAACAAATATTTCAGGTCCTTGAACGCTGTGATTAAAAAACCTTGGAGCAACATGAAAAGTACAGGCTTGGGGGAAAGGAAAACAGGATATTCCAAATGGGGCAGGGCTTGTAGGAAGCGTACCAGAGACAAGAATCACCCGCCAGTGTGAGAGCCAGCAGCTCCCACCTCATCAGGCTCACCTTTCCACCTGGTTTTCAACATCTGGCTACACTGTACTTTTAAGGTTTTATGAGGGCTAGCAGGGCATTTTTTAACCCAAAATAAGGCACTGCTAATCTTAGAAATACATACAAGTATTTATAAATTACATATTTTTATATAATGTAGATAAAAATAAATTCATATATCTTTTTATCCTCTATTTTTGGTGGCTGGCCAGTACAGGGGTCTGAACCCCTCACTTGGTGTTGTAACACTGTGCTCTGACCAATCGAGCTAACTGGCCAGCCTAAAATATTGTTATATGAGAGGAGTTGTATTTTGTTAAATTCGTAAGCATTCTTAAAATGATTAAGATTGGCTTTTCTTTTTTTTTTTTTTGTTGGACAAATAAGCTGACTAAACTACTTTCTGTCCTCCAGTTTCTGAAGACCTCTGGTCCCTTAGCACCTCAGATACAGCGCCCTGGAGATCCCAACAGACTTTACCTGGGGTTCTTAATTATACTCAGGGACTTCCTTGGCTGTAGTTCTCATCTCTCACTGTTCCCATTATCCCAGCAGCTCCCTCTCCGGATGCCATTCTCCCCTGAACCGAGGCTCTGGATACTTAGGATGGACTGCCTGAGCACCTCCGCTCCAGGGCGTGCTGGGGCGGGCGGGCGGAGCAGAGGACTCCTGGCAGTGTCAGCTGCTGCTTCTCAGGGGATGCTCTCATTCCCCCTGCAGGGGGCGGCTCTGAGACTTCACAGCCATCTGAGAAGACCTTAAGCATCTGTCAAACTAGAGCACCAATCCCACCTTTCTGGACAGCTACTCAGGAATAGCTACTCACTGCTATGTCCCTCCCTTTTGAATATTTGTCACCTACAATCTAAATCACACCTGAGCATCTGATTTATGTCCTTCCTATGTCTTGTTCTCTAGTCTTGTTTGCTTCCCACTAGATCATGAGCTCCTTGGGGGTTAAGACACCATCTGGGACTGCCCCCACCCCCACAGTCTTAGATGTACTGTAACAAGTACAGGAAAATTATGGCTGTATGTTTTTCCAGAGATGGCTGCTGAGGTTCCAGAGGTGGAGGGATGAATTCACACAGGTAAGGATGGCCACTGGTGTGCCTGGAGGTACAAAGGCTAGAAGTGCTATTCAAATTCAAAAGAACCAGACTGGCTGGAATTAGTGCTGATGAAAATTAAGGCTGTGGACAGGTAATACAATAAAATTTCCTGTATCTCATCAGGAAAAGTAGTTGACAACACAGACTCCTGACTATTCTGCATCTCTCCCATTCCACCAAACAGAATCAATAGGTCTGGAGATCAGGAATCTGCATTTTAAACAAGTGCCCAAGTTTTGTAGTGCAGCTGGCAGCAGGAGAGCCTCAGATCACACTGTGAAAACATGCTCTAGGACAGTAGTTCTCAAATTGCAGTCCCCAGAGCAGCCACATCAGCATCACCTGGGAACTGGTTAGAAATGTTAATGTTCTTGGTCTCATCCCAGACCTACTGAACCAGAAACTCTGAGGTGAGACCTAGTGATTTGTGATCTGATGAGTCCTCCAGGTGACTCTGATCCACAAAGTTTGTGAACCACGTGTATAAGAAAAGGCACAATTTCAAATCAGCAGAAGGGAGAAAGTTCTTCCAGCTCCTATGGACAAGTCTTCAGTCCCCATCTATTCCACTGCCTCTGGCCCCAGCTCTTGCTGAGGGGAAGTGCGTGTTGGCACTCTGCAGGGAGGAGGGGAAGGCCCCAGAGACCTGAGAAGGAAAGTAGGGACCATGGCTTCCTCTTTCTTTATTGGACACTTTGTAGATGTCACGCAGGTCTAAAAGTTACACTGTTAAATAATTATTTAAAAACTGACCAGGACTAAGGCCCTGATCCAGAGCTCCAAATCAGAAGCAAAAAGGAAGGGTGGTGGTGGGCTGGGGGTTATTCCTCCAACATCACCAAAACCCAGAAAACGAGGATCCTAAGCTCCTTCACAGGCCAAATCCAGCGCTTGGGCCCTTGGGCTAACCCTCAAGTGCCTCTGGCTGCATCACTCTCAGGGTAAAGTAGCCAGCGAGGGGTTGGAGGAAACAGCCAGCTGAATCCAGACATGGACAAATGTAACTGGAAGGACAGGAAATGGACAGGTACTGTCCAGCTGTAGATAACAGAGTGCAGCAGGTAGAGGGGCAGGGGAGAGGCTGGGGGAGCAGTATTGCAGCAATGCAGGAGTGTAGCCCCAGGGTCCTGTCCTGAGTGGCTGGCCAGGGTAGCAGATGTCAGTCCCCAGATGGAGCTCCTGACCCAAGTCTGGGCAGAGGGCTCACACATTGTGGGTCCTCTTGGTGAGCTGGGGCTCCTCATCTACCAGCTTGGACTTGAGGTGCTCCTTGTAGGCCAGGATGTCTCCAGGCCACTTGGTGATTGTCTGCTTCTCACAGACCCAAATTTCCTGTGCAACCTAGAAAACAAATCCTAGACTTAATCCTGGCTAGTCACTTTCCCCACCCCTGTCCAGCAGACTGTTTGTTCTGAGGGGCTTCTAGGAAGAAAGCTCCACAATCTCCTCCGTTCCCCCTCTCAACCCCCAACCCCCAACCAGCTCACTGTTGCACCACCTCAAAATTCTTTGGGATGGTCTAACCCATGGGTACCATAACCAGGTTCTGGCAACTTCCAAGCCAGGAACTACAGTGTCACCCCTACTGTCAGTTCCCTTGCAGGGTCTCAATCTGTTTACAGGCTTCACACTCAGCTTCCTTTTCTCCACCCCCAACTTCTCCAAAGCTTCAGAGACATGACCAGCAGCTTCTTCCCCAATGATTGATGGAAGCCCTCAGTCTCATCCAAATCCTTCTTAGTAGAATGCTATTTTTGGACTGAAGCATCTTGGGACAGTAGTAAAAAAAGGACCCTGTTCTCTACCCAACTCTCTCCCCCATCTGGGCCAACAATGCCAAATTGGCTAACATCCCCAAATAGTTAAGGCTTTCTAAGTAGCCCCAAAGAGCTATAAGATCCTGTCCTCACCACTTGTCTAAACCCTGAGCCCGTTCCCTGAATTCAGTAAACATGCATTCTGCGCTGTCCCTCTGTGTGCCTCTAATGAGCTCCACCCCACCTTCTCCTAGATGCACTCTGCTGTGCCTCCCTCCCCACCTGGCCTCACCTGCTGAATGAGTCTGAAGTCATGGCTGACCAGCATCATCCCACCCTCAAACTCATTGATGGCATCTGCCAGTGCGTCAATGGTCTCAATGTCCAGATGATTGGTGGGCTCGTCCAGGAAGAGCATGTGGGGGTTCTGCCAGGCCAGCCAGGCCAGACACACTCGGCACTTCTGCCCGTCCGACAGGTTCCGGATTGGACTCACCTAAGTGGAACCATGACATACACAGCACGACTCATCTCTCTCCCCATCTCTCCCTGTTTTCTCCATTAGTATCACTGCCATTTTACAAAAAGTGAGGCTCAGAAAGACCCAAGATCACAAAGCAAGATAGTAGCATGGCCTCGCATCTCGAGGCCTGAGAGGGACACATCTGTAAACCTAAAGCCCTTGCCATTACTGAGCCCATACCTCTCAATCTCTTGGCACTTAAATCTCAACGAACCAGAGCAATCCATGGGGATCCTCAGTTCCAGATGTGAATTCAGGAATTTGTTTTCTAGACTGCAAGCCCCCTTGCCCTCAAGCACTATGGTGCAAGGGCATGTGAGAGACTGGTGCACTATCCTTGCCCTCCTGGATGATGAAACCCAAATGCTCCATGACGTAACAAACTGGAGTAAAGGAAAGGTACTGGGCTGTCTTAGGAGCTGGAATCTAATGGAAGAGACTCTGGGATCGCTTCCAAACCTGGGTTGCCAGGACCCAGTGTCCCCTGGCCCACCCAGCCATGGTCTTCTGGCTATCTGGGATTCTTCCCATGACCTCCTCTATTGACCTGTTGTTTCCCGGTGAGACCGTATCGCCCAATGATCTTCCTCATTTCTTCCTTCTCCTTGATCTCTGGGTAGCACTTCATCATGTACTCCAAAGGCGAGAGATCTAAGTCTAGCTGCTCCTGTAAATGCTGCAGGAAAAATGGAAGCCACCCAGGTGTGACTGGTATCGTGCTTCAAAGGAGCCCCACTGGGTAATTCTGCTTCTACCCAGGCACCTGTTTAGGATTCAAGGAGAAGCAGGTAGCAGCTGACTAGGCTGGAATTCCTGGGGGAGAGGGGTGGCTGGAACTGGCCAGATGTAGCCCCATCCCACACCCTGAGCAACGGCCCCAACTCAAGCCTGTACCTGATGGTAACGCCCTATCTTGACATGGGAGTGTTTCCGGATCATCCCATCTGTGGGTAGTAGCTAGGAAGAAAAGAGTAGTGAGTGAAACCATACGCACGAGAAAAAAGGAAACCCGGTAAGAAGCAGACACAGACCGAGGGGGCAAACACACGTGTTCACCCCAAACAAGACGCACACGACTTCCTATGCAAAACTTACATCACCAACTAACAGACAACTATTCTGCCACTCTAAAAATCTTTAGGAAGATATACTGAAACAGATTTCTCAAGACAGGCAAAGATACAATTTATTAAGTAGTTATGAAGTGTCTACTATAGAACGCACTATATGCATAACAAAGGACTTGGATGTAAGTACAACAAACATTTTCTGGACTAAAAACCTATCTCTAAATGCACAGATGTTCTTATAAGAGGGTACTTCTAAAGGCTCATGGAAAAATAGAATTAAAAGATATACAAATCTTTCCATGAACTTTTTGAAGATGCCTCATATTCTAAATGCTCTGATTGAAACAGAAAAATGCCTGAGACACATGCATGTATTCATACACACACACTCACACTTTCACACACAGACTAGAGAGACCAACCCCAAGCCTCAGCACTGCCCATCCATAACATTCCCTCTTTCTCCCACCTGCCCCCACCTGCTCCAGATGGCTCGCTTGCCACCAGGGTGCTTAGGCCCTCCAAGAGTAGTTACCCCTGCATAAGGTCCCTCTTCCTGACACAACGTAAGTAACTCCTCTGGGAAGGAGCTATGCCCACCTTGGCTCCTTACCTCTCCAGTTAGCAGCTTCAGAAGAGTTGATTTCCCAGCTCCATTGGGCCCTACCAGAGCTACTCGTGTGTCGAGGTCAATACCAAATTCTAGATTATTGTAGATGCAAGGCTGAGGTGGGGATAAGAGAGATGGACACAAGGTTAGAGCGCAGATCTACTCCAACTGTCAGATCAACACCGCTGAGTCCCAGTCACCAATGGAGGAGGTGGAGAGAGTGGAGGAGGGAAGCACTCTTACAGCAGACCGCAATCCACTGCCTCCACCCACCAACCCAGCAGAGCAGTTTTCCCTCCAGGTACTCAAAGAAGGGCCAGCGTGAGTCCTTGTGTGAGGCACTCTAGCTACCAAGCCTGAAAATCCCCTGCATCACATGGGTTAGCAGGTGTGTCCAGCACAGAAAGAGAGGCTCCCACCAGCCGACACTGCCCCTGTAACATGCACCCCAACCTCCCAACCAAACACAGGTGCTCACACACATGCCCTGACTTAACTTACCCCATCTTTTGTATACTTGAAGCTCACATTTTGCACCATAATGACGGGTGGGGGGATCTTGCCACACGGTGGGAAATAAAATGACAGTGTCTAGAAAGAGAAGAGGGTATTTATCAAGTTGGTTCCTTTCTTATCCACCTCACCTTAGGCCACCAATCCCCCCCAATCAGACCCCACCTTGTCGCTCACGACCCTTTCTGTCAGTCCTGATGCCATCATTTTCTGTAGTGTCTTCTCCTTGCTCTGGGCCTGCCGTGCCAATTTGGCACTGCCATGACCAAATCTAGCAATGTAGTTCTGAAAGAGACCAGAAAGGGAGCTTGGAGTGTGTGCAGGCACCAAGCAACTCATCTCCAACCCAGGATGGAAAGTGATGGATGACTTAACTTTTTCCTGACTGCCTGCAGCACCTCCAACCTCCCGAAATGCCCTCATCCACTTCCCCTGCTTGATCCAGATGGGACATCATGGGCCTGGCCCTGCAGTCTCCCTACCTTCATGTGCGCAATCTGATCTTGCTCCCAGTGAAACCTCTTCATTTGGTTCTCCTCCAGCTCCAGCCGGGTCTTCACATACTGATCATAATTACCCTGCAGGGAAATGCGCCGGGCAAGTCGGGCAGCTTTAACCTGGGTTTCGGTCGTGGGTTCTCAATCAGAGTTTAGGGGGATGAGGGATGGCACTGACTCAGCCCTGGTTCTAAGACTGTGCAGTAAGAAAAGAGGAAGTGCATTACAGCGGCATGTCCTAACCTAGAATTTGAGGTCCTTTCAATTCTGTGGCTCCTGCTCAGCCCAGCCAGTGACAGGCTCCAGATCAAGTCTTTAGCTTAGAAAGGCACCCATGGCCTTGGGACAACCATGGTCATACAGACCTCATGAAGCTCAGAGCCTTCCAGCACCACCACCTACCATTCCCCATCCCTAAAGGCTGAAGCCCCATGCAGACTTCACTAGCTGTCCCCAGGAGGGAAAACAGATCGATCAGATTTAAGGCCTGACAAACCCTGCACAATTGAACTGCCATGGTTTCTATCTGCAAAAAAAATGGCCTCTAGCTAAATTTCCATCAACAAGAGCCTAACAAGTAAGTTGCAGGAAATCCACATACTGAAAGACTATGCAGTCACTGAAAAGAATAAGATTGATTTATACATACTCGTATGGAAAGCAGTCCAAGATATATTAAATTTAAAAAGCAAACTACAGAAGAGAATGATTATTAAGGTTACAACTGTATAAAGAGAAAAGGACATATGTATATATGAAATTTTCTACAAATGCTCAGAAATACAAAGGAAATATCTGGAAGACCCTGTAAGAAACTATTAATATTCCTATGGTGAGTATAACTATGAATGAAGAGTACTTCTACTTTTCATTTGTTATACATTTTTTGAAATATAAAAAATGAAAAGGCAAGGCACAACAGTGGACCATTCAGCTCCTGACCCCTATTCTTCTGTGGTCACGGAAGGAGGGGTAAATGTGGTGACAGTCCCGAAGCAGAGTTCAGGAGCTATTCAAGAAGGCTGAGGGGAGCAGGGCCTGCCTGGGAACCATGAAAAGTCAACTGTTTTGCCATAAGGCGAACATACACTATACGCACAGGCTGCCCACCCATGGCCTATGGCCTGAAAGCAATGACTTTGGGACTAAAATAAAATAGGCTGCAGGACTCCTTTGTCTACATCTTTTTATAGCAACAGGTAGAAAAGAGCTGCTAAGTCTGCTTTTTTTTTAAAGGAAAATGTTAGAGATTACCACAGAAAAAGTTGAGAGACCCACTCACCGTATAATACTTTAGTTTCTTGTTGTGCATGTGAATGATGTTGGTACAGACACCATTCAGAAAATCCTGGGAATGGGAGACAAGGACCAGGATGCGCTTAAAACTGCAAAGCCAAAGAGAACCAATCAGGCAGGTGCTCAAAAATGGGAGACAGCTGACAACAGGTGAGCTGAGAGTCAGGCCCAGAAAACCTTCACCCTTTCCCATCCTTACACCTAAGCACCCCTTATATGTACTGTCCAATTCCCGGCTGTCAGCAAGCACCTAAGCTACCACTACACAGTCAATCTGTGCAGGGTATTTTGAAGCCTTTCAAAGTATGATGAGACAGCCTGAGTTTCCTCAATCTTCTGTTCTAATTTTCAACAGAATGGAGTGGAGATGACAGTAACAGTGATGGTAAAAAGAAAAATGTATGGACACAAATATATCCATAAATATACCCAAAACTGGGAGCGAAGAACTGGAACAGATGCACTAAAAACCACAATACTTTTCTTTTTGAAAGAAGGTACTAAATCACTGTACCAATAGAAGCCTTTTTTTTAAGTTGGTACGACTTTATTCAGTTCTTTAGTCACAAAACGACCATGGCCATATTGGCTATTTTTCCCTTTGTCACTACATCATGATCTTAGATGGGAGACTCCCTTTATATGATGTGTATAAAAACAGTTAAGACAAAAAATTGTCTATAATAAAGATGTATTTCAAATATGGGAAAAACCAAAAGGTCTAAGAAAAAAGAATCATCCATTTCAGACTAAACAAAAACAAAAAGGCCAGCGCTAAAGGTGCTTATCACTTTTCAGTCTGGCCTTCACTTTGGCCTTACTTCACTTTTTGACTGCTCTAATATCAGGGCAGCCTGGGGGGCATCCACTTTCTTTGGACTCTGCTTGACTCCCCCTTCGAGACCTGCCCACTCCCATCTCCCACCCACTCCCCTTACGTTTTCAGTTCTTCTTCCAACCACACACAAGCATCTAGGTCCAGGTGGTTGGTGGGCTCATCCAGGAGCAACATGAAGGGCCGAATAAAGAGGGCTCTGAAGGACAAGAAAGGAGACAGAAGCCCCTCAGGATAAGGTTACATGGGAGAGGACCAACTTGCCTGCTACATGCAATTCTGGTCAGGCCTGGCTTGAGTCCTGAAATCAATTCTAGGTTCTACACCCTAGGGGAAAGGGGAGAATGAAGAGAAAAAACAGAGATGAAGAGCAGAGGTTAAAGAGTAGAAAAGAGGGCTCAGGAGCACAGAACTGTATTCTGGAGATAAGGCTGTAAAAGTCCTTATGAGTCTGCGAGCCTTGTACATTGAGGTTGATGACCATGAAGAAGACAAAAGGACACAGAGGAAATAAATTACTACAGCAAAAAGTATTCAGGTTAGAACTATCTGGTGGGGTTGCCAGACTCTAGCAAGGAATCCAAAGAATGTTCTTCTCTTAAACTAGAACTTCAAGATGAGAGGAGCAAGGGGATAGGATCTAAGGCCCTAGTTCCCAAATCTGCAGTTTCCACACCATGGGAACTCGTCAGAAGTAAGATCTCTGGGCACTAAACTCCAGCATTCTGACTGCATAGATCTTAAGAAGAGGATGGGAAACCTATGTTTTAAAGAGCTTCCTAGGTGATCCAGAGGTAGCTAATCCTTGTTAACACATGAAACCACTGCTCTCATGTTCTAAGGCACACACAGGCACTTTCTAGAGCAGTGGATCAAGCCTCAATAATTCACTTGACAGAGGATGGTGGGGTAAGGAATTACTTATTTTTCTAGAGACTCGGGATCACTGAAGGAATGCTAGTCTACAAAAATTTGCTGTGGGTCAGGCCACAAGAGGATAAGACCAGATATCATAATAGCTATCTAATATTTTATCTTTATAACATGAACTAGCAGGACTGAAGCATAAAAAACAGTGGGAGGGGAGTCAGGAAAGAAAGAAACAGATCTAACTCCACCACTTTACCCTGAGGGATAGGGAGCGATGGGGTAGTGAAGGATGGAGGGACTCACCTGGCAAGGGCAACCCTCATCCTCCAGCCCCCACTGAAGTCTTTTAGCTTCTTGCGCTGCATAGCAGGTGTGAAACCCAGTCCGTGCAAGATCCGTGAGGCCCTCATCTCCGCCTTGTCGGCATCCAACTCCTCCAGGCGCTCATAGAGCTCCATGAGCTTCTCACACTCCGCTGTGGGCAGTGCGTGGCCGTGAGGCTCCCTGGGCTTTCCTGGGAGGAAGCCCACCCCCGCCCCTGGGTCTGGAGCCCTACCGTCCTCGTGAGCCAGCCTCTCAGCTTCTCTCTCCAGCATGGCTCGCTCTGTGTCGACCTCCATCACACACTGCAAGGGTGTCTTGTCACTAGGGGGCATCTCACGAGTCAGATGGTAGATGTCAATGTGCTCAGGGATGGGCACTTCACGTTTCCCGATAGCAGAGAGCAGCATGGACTTTCCTGAGAGAAGACACTTGGTACAATGAATTCCCCTGTCGTTCCTCCACCTGTTCCTCCACTCCAGCCAAACCAGGACCTCATCAATTCTTTTCGTACCTTCCTTCCCTTTATTCATTTAAATCCAGTTACCCCCTACCCTTCCAACTTTCCTCCAATTCTTGTCCCAACCCTCCTCTGTAAAGTCTTTTTCATTTACAATAGCCTCGCACACTGCTGCCACCCACCCCCACCAAGTTCTCCAGCACCTACTGTCTGGAACTACTCGTGTACTACTTACCATATACTACTCTGTATTGCTGCTTCCTTTTCCCTTGTCTCCCACCCATATTGTAAACACCTTGCTTTGTACACAGCTGGTGCTAAATAAATACTTGCTGAGTGACAGATGAGCCAAGGAGCGATACCTCCCACCTCGCCTTCCAAGGGCCTCACCAATTCCATTTAAGCCAATGAGGCCATAACGACGGCCTGAGTTTAATTCCAGTTTGGTGTCACTGAGCAGTTCTTGACCATGAAAGGTGAGTGAGAGGTTGATAATGTGGACATCAGTACTGTTGGGGTGAGAGGCCAGAACGCCAGTGACAGCTCGAGCAGCAGCTTTCTTCATCTCAAAGTCCTCTAGCTCCTTGGTCAGCAAATCCACTTCTGGGAACAGAAAAGCAGTTTGGGAAGAGGGCTGCAAGACAGACTTAGCTCTCACACAAAGAGGCAAGTCCTGAAGGACTTGGGCTCAGAACAGGCTGAGCACACTCGGATGTTTTACAAGCTTTAAAACAGAGTGCACACTAACACAGATCTGCCCTAACACTCTGCTTCCTTGGACACCTTTTACTCTGCAACCTGTCCTTTTAATTCTAACCTCTCTTGTCCTTATCTTGTCCTCTAGTGCCCTTGTCCACCCCCATCATTCATAATTTCCTGTCCTTCGCTATTCTGGCCAGGAATAAAACTTCCCCATGGTCTGACTTTATTACACCATCTTTCTCCCAGAATTCTTATTCTACCACCCAACTTTCTCCTCTCCATCATTTTCAACTCCTCTTTTTCTGACTTCCTGTCATGATTTGCATACTAATTCTCCTTTCCTCTTCAAACATTTACTAAGTGTGTCTTCTGCAAGGCAGGTCATAAAAAAAAGTGTGACACAAGACATGGTCCGGGCACTCAAATATCAATCAAGTTAGATGAAGAAACAGAAGATACAACGTAAAAGTAACACTATAAAATAGCACAGGGGATATGGTGAATGGAAATATTATGAGATCGGGTTTGACTGGGAAAGGCTTTGCTATCCTGAACTGGGCCTTGAAAGAATCATCGTATGTAGTTAGCATAAACACTGTAGAACTTAGTGTGTAAAAAGAAATGTGACTATTCAAAGGACAATGAATAGTATGGATGGAGCACAGGGCCTGTTTAGGGAGTTTTCAAGAGGCAGGGAAGAAGGATGGGATTAGACTGCCAAGGGCCTGGAATATTCTTTATCACATGCTACCATGTCTCCTCATCCAGACTGTAAGTTATTGGAGGGCAGACTTTTTATAGCACCTCAGTGTGTAGCACCATGTCTAGCACTTGAGAAGTGCTCAATAAACATTTACAAAAATATAAACAACAGAAAGGCAGCTCTTTCCCCAGAAAAAGCCGTAAAACAATTTATAAGTTACTCTCTTGTTGGTAAAATCACTGCCCCTATGAGGACAAGGCTATAATATGGCAAATAACCTGACACACTGGCAACCATGTGTAGAAACGGTAATGAGAAAGGGGCAGAGAACTGACCTCCTTCCCACTAGACAGGGCAGCAAGACAGCTCAACAATTCCCATATTTGCTTGCCGCTGTGTATCTGAGAACCTGTGTTCAGTTTCCTTGTTTAATAACAGGGTGGCACAAACTCCAGCTGCTGGTTTGGTTTACTGTGGAAACCAAGATTCTGACTCTGATTGGGACATTTATTAAGTCTTAACAACTCTCCCAAGGAACCCAGCCCTCCCTCAATTCACCTGTGGTGTCTCTGCCATTGGCCTCCTCATTTTTCTCCTCTGCCACCTGTGGTTCTGTAACAGCATCTCCGTTTTCTTCATGTCCCTTTCTGGGCCGCTGTCGAGCTTTGGCAGCTTCCTTCTTTTTAGCTGCCTTCTTCTTGGCCAGGTCAGAGGGCATGATGATAACCACAGGGGTATGTTACTGTTTTTTTCAGGGAGCCTGAAGGAAGGCAAACAAATACCCCCAAACTCTAAACTTACTGGTAAGGCTGCCTGGGCCCCGCTCTATCCCTGTCAGGAATTTTCAAATCAAGCCTCTGATGTCCTGCTCTGTCCCTGCTTGGTCTCTGCCAACTGTCAGGGTCTCTCAAACCAATTCTGACTCTCAGCTGCTCTTCTAATCTTAGCATCTCTTTCCTCACGCTTTGTCCACCAATCCCCACGGACTGCCTCACTTTGGAAACGCTCCTTCTTCCAGGGCTTCCAGTCAAGAACCAGGTTCTGCCCTTCGGCAGAGGTTCCCGTCTCCGGTTTCCCCACAACTTGGCGCTCCCCACTCCAACCGGCCGCCTCACTCTCCCGGCTGCCGCCTCACTCTCCCGGCTTCCGCCTCGCATCCGAATCGGGCCTTCTCTCCGCCGCCCCCTCCACACACCCAGCTGTGCGGCCCAGCTTTTTCCCGGGACGAGTGCGGTGAGCCCCCGGTGAGTCCCCTCAGTCTCCACGCTCGCCACCCCCCGAACCTCCCCCACACCCACCCGTCAGCTTCTCTTCCTCGGCGCTTTCTTCTCCCTCGCAGCCCCCTCCATCCCGACCCCGTCCCTCCTTCCTATTCTCGTCCTCCCTCTCCTTCTCCGGCCGGCACCCTCCCTCGCAGCGCCCCTTCCCCCAACTCACTGGGCCTCTCCACTCGGCCTCTGTCGCAACAGAGCTGCTCCTTGGGCTCCTCCGCGTGCGGCCGGCTCACTAGCCAATCACGGCCTCGGGCGGCTCTCGGCGCGCCGTCGCGCAGATTCCTGGGAGGTGGAGTTCTCGGGTTGCGGCGGCCCAGGGGTAGGACCCGCCTCTAGAACTACTAGGTATCCCAGGGGCCTCGCGGGCCTGCGTGACGCCATCAGGATGCGCGAGGCTCGGGGAGGGGGCAGGATGAGAGTCCAAGAGCTCTCTGCCAGCAGGTCCGCATCAGGCGCTGGGAACTACAAATCCCAGATTGCTGTTCGGACAAGCGGGCTGGGCCTTCCAGGCTTTACTCCACCCCTCGAAAATCTATTGAGCTATGTGGAGTTAGAGAGTTTTGAGGTCGCGCAACCCGCTTAGCCAGCAGGATAACATTTTTTATGTTCTTGCATTTATGCCATCATACTTAACCCTCCCGACAAACTCTGAGGTGGATGTTATTACCATTTTACAGATTAGGAAACTAAGGCACAGAGCTGTTAATAAAACACTGCTGGTAGCTGGTAAGAGTGCCAGGATTTCAGGCTGAAATCTTCTGATTCCAGAACTCCAGCTGTGTAATGGCTCGGCATGGCAATGGAAAGACTAACCACTTCCTTCTCTGAATCCACCTGCACAGCAGCCAATCACATCCATGATCTATGAGTGAGATCTCGGCCCCCGAGAAAAGAGGGTGGGAGCAACCATAGAGAGGTCGGGCGGAGCGAGCGGCCGGATGCGGTCACCATAGAGACGGGTGACTGACAAGCAGCGGAAGAGGAAGCCGCGGGCCGGGCTGTGAGGTGGCAGCAGCTGCCGCCGTAGAGCCGGCGACTCGGCGGCCACTGGGGTCTGTTCCCTCTCTCCCGTCCCTGCTCCCCGCGAGGCCCGTGCGGGGCGCCTCTCCCCCTGTCGGCCCCACGCCCCCACCCCGCGCCGGGACGCCCGGGTCCCTCTTGTCCCCGCCGGCCCTGGCCCGGCTGCAGGCCTCCTCTCTGTGCGCTTGGGCGTTCGTCGTTGTCCTGCGCGGGCTGCCTCGGAAGTCACTGGTGCGGCCTTTGCCCCTGCCGACGGGCCTGAGGACGGGGTCTGTTCACCCCTCTCCGGGCAGCGACCTGAGTCCGACCCCCCGCCGCCTGTCCCGGCCCCAGCCCGCAGAACAAACCGAGCTGGACCCCTGTCCCTCCTCTGCAGCTCCGTGACGAAGCCGATTTCTTTCAGTTTGGAGACGAACGGCTGAGACTCGCTTCGGCCTTCTTTCTAGGGCTAGACTTGGTCGGTGGTCGCTGAGAGGTGGATCTGAAGCCCCCCAGCTTCTGCTCGCCTTCACAGAAGTCCTGCGTCGGCTCTAGCTGCCGCTTGTCCTCACGGCTTACTTTTGGTTTGTCTTGTTTGGTCCCCGGGGCCCTGGTCAAGCCAGACACCGAAGGGCTCGTACACAGCAAGTTTGCTGTGGTTTGCCTGCTGGCTCCTCTCAGAGGAGGGTGGGCAGCACAGTCGCTCAGCAGCCGGACTCGGGACAGAATGCCCTGCAAGATGGCTCCAGCAGCCATGGCGCCGCTCTGAGAGGCTGTCAGTGCTGAGTCACCATAGCTGTCCACCTCATCTGGGTGGGCAGAACTTGTGTGCTCTGTGCGAGGGGCTCTTGACCACTCCTGACTGGGAGGAGGGGTTACTGTAACCATTTGTCGCTCAGCAGCCGGACTCGGGACAGAATGCCCTGCAAGATGGCTCCAGCAGCCATGGCGCTGCTCTGAGAGGCTGTCAGTGCTGAGTCACCATAGCTGTCCACCTCTTCTGGGTGGGCAGAACTTGTGTGCTCTGTGCGAGGGGCTCTTGACCACTCCTGACTGGGAGGAGGGGTTACTGTAACCATTGTGCTTCCTTGACACTGGGCCCCAGAGCAGGAAGAGGCCCTGATCACTGCCCCCTGCCTTGTGCCAGGCTGCAGCGGTGCTCAGCAAGCCCTTCAGTAGCCTGAGTGAGGAATGGTGTCAGGTCTGCCTGACACAGGCTCCTCTGGTTGGGAGTGTTGATGTGATGGATCTGTAGGTCCAGTCTGCGGATGTGTTTAATCTTTTTGCGTTAGGTTTGGCAGTATTGAGTTTTGTTTTCTCCCATTCTACTGAAAGGTAGGCTGTAATCCCAATAGAGAGTAAAATTGATTCTCGTATTTATTACTATGTGGGCTGAAGGTTAGATCGGCACCTTGGCAATTGAAGACCAGGCAGGGAGGGCTGTGACAACAGGACAGTTGATCTGCCTGGCGATGCTAGGCCTGGAAGCCAACACACCTTGCTCTGTTATTGATCTCAGTGACCCCAGATTCCCTGGTTAGAACTGCAGGCCTGCTACTGGCCTGACGCCTATCAATCCATTGATCCTTGAGGTTGTGCCCCCTGGGGCACCCACATGTCAGGGCCTACCACCATGCGACTGAGCTCCCTGTTGGCTCTACTGCGACCAGTGCTGCCGCTCATCCTAGGGCTGTCTCTGGGATGCAGCCTGAGCCTCTTGCGGGTTTCCTGGATCCAGGGTGAGGGAGAAGATCCCTGTGTAGAGGCTGTGGGGGAGGCAGGAGGGCCACAGAATCCAGATTCAAGAATTCGGCTGGACCAAAGTGATGAAGACTTCAAACCCCGGATTGTGCCCTACTACAGGGATCCCAACAAGCCCTACAAGAAAGTGCTCAGGTGAGAGCTCGATAGTGTGCATAGGGCTGCTCCAGGTTTTTGTCTCTGCCTTCCCACTGGCAATCAGTGGGGCAATTCTTTGTCTTATTTTCCGTCATGGTTGGTTCCTATTTTTTACCTCTTTTTCAAATCTGAGAAAGTCTCACCTATTTGTGGTGTTAGTGTTCAATGTTCCTTTAGAAATTTATTTTTTTTCTTTTTTTATCTTTATTTTTTGTGGTGTTGTTCATCATTCTTGAACAGGGCTGGAATTGTACTAACCCATCTAATCCATCCTTAGTGGATCCCTTCCCCACCAAATCAATTTCAGTGTCAGCTACTCAGTGGATACTCGCTCTGGTAGTTAATTAGTATTGATGAGGAAGGAAATCTCTTCCTTCTCTTTTTTCAACCCCAACTCACACATTCCTAAGGGGATGTATATGCTGGACAAGCTGGGTGGAGTTGACTCCTGGCACACTGGTCTCTCCACAGGACTCGGTACATCCAGACAGAGCTGGGCTCTCGTGAGCGGTTGCTGGTGGCTGTCCTGACTTCCCGAGCCACGCTGTCCACTCTGGCCGTGGCAGTGAACCGTACAGTAGCCCACCACTTCCCTCGGTTGCTCTACTTCACCGGGCAGCGAGGAGCCCGGGCCCCAGCCGGGATGCAGGTGGTGTCTCATGGGGATGAGCGGCCAGCCTGGCTCATGTCTGAAACCCTGCGCCACCTCCACACACACTTTGGGGCCGACTACGACTGGTTCTTCATCATGCAGGATGACACATATGTGCAGGCCCCCCGCCTGGCAGCCCTTGCTGGTCACCTCAGCATCAACCAGGACCTATACTTGGGCCGGGCAGAAGAGTTCATTGGTTCAGGCGAGCAGGCCCGGTACTGTCATGGGGGCTTTGGCTACCTGTTGTCACGGAGTCTCCTGCTTCGCTTGCGGCCACACCTGGATGGCTGCCGAGGAGACATTCTCAGTGCCCGTCCTGACGAGTGGCTTGGCCGCTGCCTCATTGACTCTCTGGGCATCGGCTGTGTCTCGCAGCACCAGGTGACAGCTCTTTCAAGTCAGTTCCAGTCCCAGACAAGTTAGTTGTGATTGAGTGATTGGCTTCCAGGCTGGGGCTGCCTGCCCCTTCCCAGTGGCACCTCGGAGGCCATCGTTTTGCCCTTTTCAGGCACCAGCCTGCCCCTCTGGCAGTCTCTTGCTCACCCTTGGCAATCTTAGAACCCTGGGGCTATCGGAAGTGGTGTCTTGTCAGGGATCCCCGAGGTCTGGCCCCTATTCGCCAGTCCTCCTCCCCATCTGCCTCCTTGCCTCTCCCCGGACATATCTCATCACATTTATGGACAATGTGGGACTGTCCCAGAGATGGCCACTCCCCAGAAAAGTGAGGTGATCACTTTTCTAGCCCAGAGAGCATCCTGTTTGTTGTACTAGAGAGGGTGGAAAATCCCAGAGGCGGCCCATTCTCCCAAGCCAGAGTATTGGGTGGATTTTCTGGCTTGTGGCTTTCATTCCTTTGAGGAACAGTGGGATTCTGTGGGGTAAGAGGGTGTCCTTAGTTGCCCATTTGCCTTCTTTCCAAAATGCAGCAGTGAAAGGAAGATCCAAGGTTGAGAGAGACGCTAGAAAGAGCTCCTTCTGTCCTCAGCAGTAACAACTGTGAACGCTGAGTGTGGTTAAGAGCGGTGTGGGACAGGCAGCCATGTGTGTGGCATTGACTGGTCTGATTGGTCCTTCTAGGGGCAGCAGTATCGCTCATTTGAACTGGCCAAAAATTGGGACCCCGAGAAGGAGGGGAGCTCGGCTTTCCTCAGTGCCTTTGCTGTGCACCCTGTCACCGAGGGAACCCTCATGTACCGGCTCCACAAGCGCTTCAGTGCTCTTGAGTTGGAGTGGGCTTACCGTGAAATAGAGCAACTGCAGGTGAGCTAAAGAAGAGCAGGTGGGCCAGAGGACCATGGTTGCAGGGTCAGAGGAGCCTGAGCTGTCCAGGCTTACAAAGACCAAGCAGCCAAGTGAGGGAGAGGACTAGGCCAGGCTCTGTATAATGGTGGAGTAGGAAGAAACTGACCCTACCCAAATTTAAAACAATTACAAGGACAAGCATCCTTGAGGGTCCAGGGCAATCATAAGGTAAGCTCCTGGAACAACTTGAATGCAGTTAAAGGGGTTTGCAGGTGAACTCTGAGGATCAGGAAGTTAGGTACAGTGTTCAGACTGAATAGTAGTAGCTCCTCTCCAATCATATTCTCCATCAAGGAGGCAAACCCCCAGAAATTCCTGAACATCTAGAATTGTCCTAAGAAAGCTCAAGGGTAGGAGGTAGAAGAACTTTCTAGCAGAATGTGGAGGGCATCAGAGGTGGAGTATAGACTAAAACAAGTCTGATTATGAAGATGATATGAGTCCTTTGGGTATGGGAGAGAGATTGTCGAGCTTTATATTACTTTTACCTGGGCAAAAGTACCTTTTCCACCTTCTCACAGCAGTTATTTAGGGTGGGGATGAGTCATGTTGCTTCTGCAGTTTACAAGTGAAGAATATAATGTACCAGGGGTTGAATTATTGGCCATAGGGCCCCTTGCTAGGTGGTGACAGAGTTCAGCTGCTTGAATCTCAGAGCTGGGCAGCAGGAGCTGGGTAGGATCCTAGAGCTGGCACTAATGTAAGGTGTGTTCCCTCCAACCTAGGCTCAGATCCGGAACCTGACGGTGCTGACTCCGGAGGGGGAGGCAGGCCTGAGCTGGCCCATTGGGCTCCCGGCTCCTTTTACCCCACACTCTCGCTTTGAGGTGCTGGGCTGGGACTACTTCACAGAGCAGCACACCTTCTCCTGTGAGGCTCAGATCCGGAACCTGACGGTGCTGACTCCGGAGGGGGAGGCAGGCCTGAGCTGGCCCGTTGGGCTCCCGGCTCCTTTTACCCCACACTCTCGCTTTGAGGTGCTGGGCTGGGACTACTTCACAGAGCAGCACACCTTCTCCTGTACAGATGGGGCTCCCAAGTGCCCACTGCAGGGGGCTAGCAGGGTGGATATAGGTGACGCCGTGGAGACTGCTCTGGAGCAGCTCAATCAGCGCTACCAGCCCCGTCTGCGCTTCCAGAAGCAGCGGCTGCTCAATGGCTACCGGCGCTTCGATCCAGCACGGGGCATGGAGTACACCCTGGACTTGTTGCTGGAAGCAGTGACTCAGCGTGGGCACCGGCGGGTTCTGGCCCGCAGGGTCAGCCTGCTGCGGCCACTGAGCCGGGTGGAAATCTTACCTATGCCCTATGTCACTGAGGCCACCCGAGTACAGCTGGTGCTGCCGCTCCTGGTGGCTGAAGCTGCTGCGGCCCCAGCTTTCCTGGAGGCCTTTGCAGCCAGTGTTCTGGAACCACGAGAACATGCGTTGCTCACCCTGTTACTGGTCTATGGGCCACGGGAAGGTGGCCGCGGGGCCCTGGACCCATTTCTTCAAGTGAAGGTTGCAGCAGCTGAGTTAGAGCGGCGGTACCCTGGAACAAGGCTGGCCTGGCTCGCTGTGCGAGCGGAGGCCCCTTCCCAGGTGCGACTCATGGACGTGATCTCTAAGAAGCACCCCGTGGACACTCTCTTCTTCCTTACCACCGTGTGGACAAGGCCTGGGCCAGAAGTCCTCAACCGCTGCCGCATGAATGCCATCTCCGGCTGGCAGGCCTTCTTTCCGGTCCATTTCCAGGAGTTCAACCCTGCCTTGTCACCACAAAGGTCACCCCCAGGGCCCCCAGGGTCTGGCCCTGACCCCCCGTCCCCCCCTGGTGCTGACCCTTCCCGGGGGGCTACTGTAGGGGGCAGATTTGACCGGCAGGCTTCTGCAGAGGGCTGCTTCTACAACGCTGACTACCTGGCGGCCCGAGCCCGGCTGGCTAGTGAACTGGCAGGCCAGGAAGAGGAGGAAGCCCTGGAGGGGCTGGAGGTGATGGATGTTTTCCTCCGGTTCTCAGGGCTCCACCTCTTTCGGGCCGTAGAGCCAGGGCTGGTGCAGAAGTTCGCCCTGCGGGACTGCAGCCCACGGCTCAGCGAGGAACTCTACCACCGCTGCCGCCTTAGCAACCTGGAGGGGCTGGGGGGCCGCGCCCAGCTGGCCATGGCACTGTTTGAGCAGGAGCAGGCCAACAGCACCTAGTGTGGGGGGCCGCGCCCAGCTGGCCATGGCACTGTTTGAGCAGGAGCAGGCCAACAGCACCTAGTGCCCTGAGGCCCAGCTCTTTGCACTTGTCTTGTCTGCCTTAGCCCTGGGATGGCAGGGCAAGCTGGTGGACAGATGGAGGGCTCGTCGCTGTATTTTTTTTTTTAATAAGAAAATGTTATTAAAAGTGTCTTCTGCCAAATTGTTTTTAGGAAAATGGAGTAAGGAGAAGAATCCAAGGGAGGGGTGTGGGGATTTGTCTACTGCCTCCCCCTCCCTTCTCCCTCCTTCCTCTCTCCTCCACAGTTTCCAATGACCACACGGCTGTTGTCAGACAATGACCTTTAATCCAGCCCCCCCCCACAAGGTGGCAGGGGAGTGATGCCAGCACCCAGGGCAGAGCACTGGGGGCACAGGGCGTGGCCGGAAGGTCCGTAGTGGTGCTCGCTCACGGGGCTCCTAGGTGTTGCGCACAACCAGCGACTGCTCCAGCTCCTGCCTGCGCTGTTGGATCTTTAGAGGAAGTGAGAGCAGGAGCAGGGTGACAGTGTTCCTGGTGAGTGATAAGGACAACCCACCCTCCGACACCCCTGCCCTGGAAAAGCATCTGGGAGCAGGGAGGGCCACTGCATGGTGAGGTGGCGTGGTGATGTTTCACTGTGGGGAGTAGCAAGGCCATCACAGACAAGCTGAGAAGAGAGGTGCTCTTGGAGTGGAGGAAGAGGAAGCCTCAAGGCGGGCCCCGCCATACCTTGCAGTAGAAGTAGCGGCTGACGGCTTCCTGTGACCAGGGCTGGTGGTAGAACTCAGCCCGGCGCTCTTCTTCAGGGTTGCCAGCTACATCTGTCATCACCTGGGAGGGAGCATGAGGTCAGCCCCGAGCCGTGAGGCGTGAGCCCCTCACCTGCCCCTGGTGTATGATGTTTACTGTCTCTCCCCATGTGCTTGTCTTCCACTCCAGTACTCCCCGAGTCTCCCTCTGCACCTTGAGATCCCGGCTCTGGGAGCGGAGCAGGTCTTGGACATAGCCTTTGGGGTCTCTGGAGAAGCTTAGCATGAAGTCCCTCTGGATCTTGAGCTGGTTTATGGACTCAATCGTCTCATGGATCTACAGGTAGAAAGACAGACACTTTCCACCTGGCCGTGCCGATGTGGGAGAGGAGGGAGGGCAGTGGAGGGAGGAGGGGCTACTTCTCTGAAGGGCAGTCCCTCTAAGGTCCCAGGGAAGGAGATGGGCAAAACCGAACTTGGGATGAGGCTGAACTCCAAGCAGCATGGAGTTCCTCTTATCTCCCCATAGGCCCTCGCTCTGGTCTGTTCTAAGTCTCTTCTGTCATCTCTGGATTAATGTCCCACTCCAGCTCTGGGCTCGGGCCCCACCTTACTGTCCAGAGCACTGATCTCCTGCTGGTTGGCCGTGGACAGGAGGAAGCTGCTCATCTGCCCCTTCAATGGCTCCTCTACCTCCACGTCAATGTCGTAGCACGCTGTCTTCTTCTGGTCTGATGGGTCCACACTGCCAAGGAAGTCCAGCCCTTGGTGTCCATGATGCCCCCACAGAAGCCAAGGGCCCCAGGGCTGGGGCAGATCCAACAGGGAGGGAGGGGAGATGGGCATGGGAAGAGATGGAGGGCAAAGAAGGCAGGAATGAGGAGCAAGCTGGAGCCACCTCACCTGATGACATGGTTGATGACAATCGGGTCAGGAGGTAATAGTAGGGCTGTGAGGCGCTGGGGAATCTCAGAAAACTTCAGTCGCGGACAATCAAATATCTGAAGCAAGACAGTTGGAGAAAGAGAGATCACTCTTCTGTGCTTGAAGAGATCGTAACTACAGTTTTAGATCCTTCCATTCTGGAAAGGCCACGAGAAGCTGAGAGCAAGTCTGATTCTTCAGTGCTCATTGGTGTGGGCTGGTAGAGTCACTGGCATGGCTGAACAGGCAGGGGGCTCAGTGTAGGACAGTGGTTGAGCGTGTGTGCCCTGGGTCTGCCTGCCTGAGTATCAGTCCTGCCTCCACCACTTACTATGCAACCTTGAGCAAGTTACTTAACACCTCAGGCCTCAGTGACTTCATCCCTAGAATGGGGATAATAATAATATATATCTCACAGGGTTGTCATGAGAATTCAGTGAATTAATACATATAAAGTACTTGGAACAGTGCCCGGCACATGGTAAGTGCTCAATAAATATCAACTGCTATTTTTGCTCCTCAGGTTTTTCTGCTGTGTTTATTTTAAAATGCATTAATGATAACATTCTCTACTTTGGTAGAATTTTGCCACATTACTTCCACACCATTTGATTTTCCTAACTGCCCCATAGATGAGGTGGGAGGGTTATTATCATTCCATTTCAAAGTTAAGGAACAAGGCTCAGAATAGCTGAGTAACTTACCCAAAGTCTAGACCCAGGAGTAGAACCCAGGGATTCTAACTCCAAGTGCCAAGAATCTTACATTCCGGAAAGCAGTTGGCCTTGTAGGCTTCCAGATGTTCCTAACTTAGGGAGGCTAAAATGGATTGGCTGTAGCACCAAGCTAATCCATGGTAGAGCCTGGAGCTGAGCCATGGTCTCTCGGCTCTGAGACCCTGACTGTGTACCATTTCTGATAACTCAGGAATCTGGAAGGGAGGGGTGGTAGTTACCTTAGGAGAGGTACTTCCCCTGCTGGAGAACTCTGCCTGTTCCCCAGATCTCTGGGTTCAGGAGATGTTACCTGCTGGAAATACTTGTCCCCATTGATGTATTCCTTGTCGTGGGAATCCTGCAGCCTGTTGGTCTTCACATACTGCCACAGGGCCTGGACGATGGCTGAGCGGCTCTGTGTATGCAACCCAAGCAGCCGGGCCAGGCGGGGGTCCAGTTTGAACTGGGGAGGCTGGGAAAAGGTGACCATGAGAATTAGATAAAAGGGAGGGAAGGGAAAGAGCTCAGGGCCAGGTAGCTGGGAACTGGGGCGGGGGGGCATGGGGTAATTGGGTTCCTTGGAAACATGCTCCTGGGGAAGGATGGGGTAGGAAGGAGAAGGGGGTCTCTCAGGATGCACAGCTTTGGGACCTGGGCCTGCTTCGATGGCCTTGTGTGGTGTCTGCAGGGTGGGTGGCAGGCACAGACCTGGTAGTCCAGCATGAGGAGCAGGGTGCAGCGCACACTCAGGTCCCCCGGCCTCTTCACCTGGAAGCCATCTGTCTCCTGGGTTGTGGGTGTCCGATGCCACTGTCCAGGGGAGAAGAGCTGGGTCACCCTGTAGGCCCATCTAGGACTCTAGGGTGGTCCCTGATCCAAATCTGTGCAGATTCTTCAGGGACGTGGGCCTGTGGGAAGATGGTGATTCAAGGGCAGAAGGGATCTGAGTCTTACCTCAACGAGGTGGTTGTCAGGGCCATAAAGGTCTTTGTCCAGCTCAATGACCAAACTCTTGAAGAAGGAAGAGAACTTCCGCTTCTGCTTGCTGGGCTGTGGAAGAGGAACAGGGACCGTGGGGGCAGGGCAGAATGGGGCTGAGTTGGCAGCGGGCAGGGCAGCACGGTTAGATGCAGTCCTCTACACCCAGATGTCTCTCCAGGCCCACCCACCCCAGCCAGGGCTGACCCGCTAGTCCCTGGTGCAAACATCTACTTCCGTTCTCAGCTCAGCCCATACCCACCCCAGGACACCTGGAGAGACCTGGGCCAGGACGTACATCATCCAGGAGCTTCCCCTCCACCCGCAGCTCCCAGGAGGCAATGCTGCCATCAGAATCCTCTGCATCGGGCTTCGCAGGGTTAAAAGTATTGGAGATATAAAGACGCAGCTTCCGCTTTTGCTGTAGAAATAGAGCGTAGCACAGAGCGAATGCTGTGTGCTCCCACACGAGGCCACCCTGCTCCCCCATCCTGGGCACGGGACTCGGAGCCCTCTTCCTACCCCCAAACTAAGGCACCTTCATGGGCCTCTTCAGAGCCTCCTGGATGTCCACCCGCTTCCGCATGATGGTTTGATCCAGTTTTCTCTCAAACGCTAGGAGGTCCATGTAAGCCTGGGACTCAGGGACCAGCTCCCGAATCTGGAGGAGAAGCAAGGAGAAGCAAGGCTCAACCAATCTCATCACGTGGACTGTGCGTGTGCACGTCCTGCAATCCCAGGGCTCAAACGCTAGGAGGTCCATGTAAGCCTGGGACTCAGGGACCAGCTCCCGAATCTGGAGGAGGAGAAGCAAGGAGAAGCAAGGCTCAACCAATCTCATCACGTGGACTGTGCGTGTGCACGTCCTGCAATCCCAGGGTACAAAGGACATGGAAAAGGGAGCCATCCAATTTTAAGGCATGGAATTTTGAGAGTGCGAATAGGACCTCTCCCCAGGATTCTGTTCTCCAGCAGTAGGGGCCTCCAAGTATAGGGACAAAAATTGCTTCTCCCTCTAGGGAGATCCACGCATTTCATCACCAGGGGAGGAGGTAGTAACGAGGAGCCCAGCAAGCACTAGTGCCTAACCTCCTCATCTTGTCACTGCCCTTGTCATAGGCCATTGGGTCCCCAAGACAGTTGGGGGATATACCTGCTGGCCTGTACCCTGGTACCTCACCCAGTCCCCTCACCTGGTGTCAATCATGCTACCCCAATACCCAGCTCGGCCTGGGTCCCCTTATGATGCTGGGACCTCTGGCCACCTTCTGTTCCCTCCATTTCACCTGGCAGCCTCTGCTGCCCTAGCTCTTGTCCCCTCTTTGTCCCACGCCTTTTTGTCTTCAGACTCCAGGAATTTACCCCCCTGAACCTCAGGCCCAGTGTTCTGCCCCGTGGCTCCACTGCTTCCTCCTGCCCCACCCCCTCCCTCTGGCCTGGGGAGCCTCACTTCTTAATGAGCTTTTTAAACAAAAAGTGAAAGTGACTGTGACGGCAGAAGCTCTGCTCCTGAGGGGGGAGGGGAAGGCGGAGCAGCAAAGGGTGGGGGGCGGGGGGGCTGCTGTGAAAGGCACTCACCCTTTGAGGGAGGATTTTGTCAGCCATCTTCCTCCTCTTGGCACTGTACATTTTTTAAAGAAAAAACCAGGTTACCATGGCGACAGATCTGGGAGTAACGAGGCCACCTGCTAAATTATCCCGACATCTCCGCCCGCCTGGCTGGGGTTCCCACAGCCCGTTTGTCTGTCTGCCCCAGGGGCTACAATAGTGGAGTGTGGAACTGGCACACTGTCCTCTCTCGAGAAGCAGGGGTGACTGTCCATTCTCTGGTCTGGGAGCCCCCTTCCACCTCACCCCATCCTCAGGGCCAGAGAAATTTAGACTTGAGAGACTAGGGGGTGGGGGAGGTGCTGCCAAAAGATGGGAGCTGCAGAAGTGTTTGAGGAAAGCTGGGGAGGAGGACAGAGGAGTAGGGAGACAGATGCGAGGACCTTCTTTTTCTGCAAAGCAGGGGTGTGCGGTCCAAGGTGGCCTGAGCTGGGCGGGGGGGAACAACCCCCCATCCCTGGAACAGGAAGTGATGGTGTGAAGCTGGTAGGACTTGCATCCCTGCTACCCTGGGCTTGGAAGGGGACACTGATGGGCAGGGGCGTGCTCATGTCCTTGAACCACCTGCCAACAGGGCAAGGGACACACCACACCCAGAGTGACCCAGAGAGTGTGCATGGATGTTCTCTGTGGATGTGACTTTGGGCTGGGGCTGAAATGGCAGAACCTGGGGTAGGTAGCAGCTGGGATTTGGACTCTTTTTGACCCGTTAGCTGCTTCTGACTCCCAAAAGCACCCCAGAAAAACCTTGGCGGGCCAGGAGATGAAAACGCAGCCTAGAAGATGGCTCCATACTGCCCCCATGTGGGGTTCTCAACCACTGCCCCTCCCTGTCTAGAAATCTATTCCAAGGCTATGCAAGCAGCTCTCATCAAAGGGCTGATTTGTTTTGAATTATCTATGTGAAACTCTCCATTTACACAAGGTAAATCAGGGAATTCTTATTTGCCCTACCAATGGTAATTCACTTTGCAAAAGAATTCATCATAGGATTCCTATAAACGGTGAATTTTCCTTGATGTGTAAAATATATCTAATAATGAGGTAAAATTGATATTACACCGTTTATAAGAATCCATCTGTTGTGCAAAAGGAAGCATGTGTATTTGGCTAGATACTGAAACCCAGAGGGGTACTGCTCTTGCCAGGAGCCAGCAGGGGCTTACAGGGTGCCACCAGCTGCTCTGACAAGGAAATGAGCTGGTCCTGGTATCTTGGGGCAGACCTGGTCCAGAGGACAGATTACGGCAGCTCTTCGACTTTTGAGTGCCTAAGAATCACCTGAGACCACTAACAGGGCAAATCCCCGGGTTGCTCCCCAATGGCCAGAGATTCCGATTCAGAAGATCTGGAGTGGGCTCTGAAGCGGTCAGCCAGGGCACTTGCAAGAAGGGGCAGTGGAAAGTCACACTTTGGGAAACCCAGTCCTAAAGCTCTGCCCTCAGTCCTACTGCCAGCCCCGCCCGCACCCCAAAGCCTGAAGCATCACCCAGAACTTGGGGTAAGGGGTGAAGGGACTGAGCAGGTGACAAGGAGAAGGGTGAGGTCTGGGTGCAGGGAACGGGCAGTGGCTGCCGACGGCTGCAGCCTGTCCCTACCGTGGGCACACAAAAGAACCAGACCAGTGCCCTCGAAGCCCACGTCCCCAGGGGGCATCCGATCCGGGAAGAGTCGCTCCGTGCTAAGCATTTTTCCTACCCCTTCTAATCCCCGCTCCTCGCCCACCTGGTCCCTGCGGGTCCTGACGGCCCGCCCCCTGCACGCCCCCTCCGCGCCGGGCCCCCGACTCACCTGCGGCTCCGCGCGGGGGCC